TGCTTCCATAGAAGACCACGAAGAAAAATAACCTCGAGAGCGTGCCAAATTGAAGGAAATAGGTTTCAAAATTAAATTGGGGATAAGAGTCAAAATTCCTATCTACGATCTCTTTTCCTTCAAATTATGGATTCCTCTAGCTTCAGAGGAAGAAGTTGAGTAAACTTGTTGAAGGAAATCTCTCTTGTTAAGGTCCTATGGAAGAATCATAGAGTAGAAGAAGCCACTTGGGAAACAAAAGGCAAATAAGAACCTTGTACCCTGACCTATTTTAGAATAAGCACTTTGGATGACCGAAAGTTTTCAAAGGAGAGGAGAATTTGCCACACTCAAGGTCTCCAATAAGAGACAGTGTATAATCCCTACTAGGTTGTATCTAGAAGCAAAGAACAAGTAAAATTGAAAAAATATTGAGAAAATGGTACTTTTTCTAATTTTTATAAACTTCCCAAATCATTAAATTTTTTTATAGAATAAGAATTACACTAAAAAACGTTCCTCCAAACCAATTCCTTTAGCCTGAAGAAAGGATATGGAAGAGGTTCAATGAAGAAATAGGGCCTTGAAACCCCTAGAATCAGCTACCCAATAAGAAATCCTTTGTTTTATCTTCAGCGATAAATCAGATTTTGGATGAACTTTCAAAGCGAATATCTTAGGCTACGATCCACGAGAAGGTATCAAATCAATCCCTAGCCCTTCCTTGTAATACCCATCTTTAAGTTTCACGAAGAAATCGAGGAGAGAAACGCTGTAAATGTGGCTTTACAGGCCGAGTTTCAGATGGCGGCAACGCGAAAAATGGGCATCTTCTTCCTGTTCAGAGGAAAAAAACGATTATATGGCCAGTTCAACTGAACTGTCCAAGTCAACTCAAAATTTGACATTTTCTTGGGTTTTCTCAATTTTAACCCCATTCCAGACCGATTCTCATAGAAAATCTTATGGTTTCAGAAACTAGACACAATAAGGAGTACGTGGAAGGAAATTTGAAGTAATTCCGATACTGGAAGCTCAAGAATGGACGTCCCAAACGTCGACGATGAGGCAAGTAGCCACCTTCGACTTTTTGTTAAGAAATACTTGTAGAAATCGCTTGGATTTTCATATGAACCCTAAACCAAGTATGAATTAAGGATATATGAAAGAAAAACCCAAAGAACCGTGAGTTAAGACCCTGAACCGATTAAATAGCTCGAGATTTAAGTAACATTAAAATAACCCACTATATGAGGCGGTCATGATTGCTCAAGGCATGTCGCCCAAATAATCGGTAAACAATAACATTGCCCAAAAAACCTCCTTGGACAACAAATCGTTTACAAGAATTGTTGAGACATGCAACATGCAACCACAGGCAACACGCCTTGGGCAATCATGACTGTGACATCTGCCCCCACACAATTTATTGGATGAGGCTGACTTTAGGTCTCTCGATGCGCTTCCAGCTGATCTCATAATGAGGAGTCTCTTCCAACCTACTAGGTGCTGTTGAAAATCACTTCTCGGTTTGTTGAGTCTTCATGTCTTCTATGTTCGTGTCTTCCCTACTTTCTTCGCTTGAAACTTTTTCTTATTTGTATGACGTCATACCACCTGCTTCTGCTTGATGTCTTCTTGGTCGAAATAATAACGTTTCAAGTTACTAACATGGACAACAAGGTTAGTTCGCATCCATTAGAGCAATTGGATTCTATATGATGTCTTCGTAATCTTATGGATAATTTTAACTAGTCCATAGTATTTTCACACCAGTCTTTGGTTCTTGCTGCTTTGAACTCAAAGTTTATTTTAACTTAACTTATATGAACTCAAGCGTAGATTCATCATGGCTATGATTCTTTCTCAACTGTAGTATCGACATCATTTTCAACCCTCTTGGTTGATGGATGTTTTTCTGAATGATCGTCGGATTAGACTCCATTACTACTAGACATTTTGCTAGGGGCATGTAACTGATTTTGTGTTTCAGCAGGACGTTCATTCCTGACACGACGTCGAAGTCATTCATTTCAACTATCACTAAACAATTTGCCTAGTCCAAGGCTCCAGCTTGATTAGAGTTCTCATTGTGACTCTTAAGACAGGTAAAGCTTCCAATTTGACGGCGTTCATCTTTCCTGTATCTTAATGCCAAAGGATGTTACAATATTTTGCATCGGTCTCCATCATGAGTTGTGGTTGGCTCTAGAGTTAACAATGGTGTTCTATACTACTTTTGCTTTACCCAAACCTCGACATACATAATATATATATATATTCATTTAACTATAACACATGGAACATGGAAGAATTGTAGCTCTTTTGCTCATTAATATTATAATGGCTACTACCTAAATTATAACCTAAAGTTGATAATTGATGTCCAAGTAGCCAACCCTAAATTTGTAATCATTGTGGAGTGATTGAAATTACAATGGAAGTAGTTTAAACTCCTAGTACCTTAAATGAAGTTGGTCTCTTCCAATAAAACACGAATTTCTCTTTAATATCATTAATAAAATTATGCTTCATCTTGAACCTACTAACATGAAACTAAAACTGTGTTCAATTTAACTCCATTTTATTGTCATCTTGAATAACGTGTAGGATATATTCTTGATTTACCTTGATATTTCTTATTAGTTAAGCTTTTTGCAAAATCACAATTAGACAACAACAAAGATGAACTTGGGTCTGTTTATTATTTTAAAGAAAATTTCTTTCTCCATCTTATTCCTAATAACTCTGCAACTAAATTCATATTATGCTATGAAACAAATTTTTTACTCGGAAGAAGTAAAATATGCAACTTTAACTAAAATTTCATCTAAACAAATTTTATTGCCATACAACATAGATGACAATTATAGCCTTCAAACAAAAAATAGAGTAGTTGTGGTGAACGGGATAGAAATTCTAGTGTTCATCCATAATATACAACCACTACCTAAATTATGACCTAAAAATTTGAAAACATAAGTTGTAGTTGAAAATTACATAAAACAATCCCCTAAATCCAAGAACTCGTGTCCAATTAATAAATCTTAAAGATAGTAGCTAACATAGAGTAATTGAAGCTCCACATGAAGTAATTTAAAGTTCCAGTTACTTAACTAAAGTTTATCTGTCTTTGATGAAGCATGAGTTGCACTTAAGTTCATGAAATGTTTATAGACTCCAACTCTTAGTACTATTAATGCAATTATGTTTCATATGAGTTTGTCATAAATGAAACTAAGGTATGATTCTCGCTTAGGGTGCGAGAGGTCCCAAGTTCAATTCTTGGAATGCCCCTATATGTTCATTCATCAAAAGATGAGCCTAAGAAATGGCACCATCAAATTTTTACACTACTTCTATTCTTTTTTCTTCTCTCTACCGTAATTATCTTTCTCTTTTTTAGAACATAACTACTTTTATTCTTTTTACACTACTTCTATTCTTTTTTTTTTCTCTCTACCGTAATTATCTTTCTCTTTTTTAGAACATAACTAGTTTTATTCTTTTTACACTACTTCTATTCTTTTTTCTTCTCTTCTCTACATTAATTATCTTTCTATTGTAATTATCTTTTTACACTACTTCTATTCTTTTTTCTTCTCTCTACAGTAATTATCTTTTTACACTACTTCTATTCTTTTTTCTTCTCTCTACGGTAATTATCGTAAACCTTATGTAAATAATTTAACAGTGGTCTAGATTTAAAAGATATAATAATAATTGCTCATGGATTTCATTAACAAAGAAAATAAATGAAATAATGTTGATACATTCCATAAACAACTTAATATATGGTTCATTATAAGGGCATTTGGTGTAGTGGTATGATTCTTGCATTAGGTGCAAGAGGTCTCGAGTTCAATTCTCGGAATGCCCCTCCAAAAGAAAACAAAGCACAATTTTGAAAGGAAAAAAAAACAAAAAAAAACAAAATAGTTATCAATGGGCCTAACCCAAGCTTCAACTGAACGGATTTCAAGTGTCACAATCTCACTCTTAATGTAAAGAAATATTTTAGAATAGAAACAACAACTGGTCACGTTCTCCTAGTACATTTTGAGGACTAATCATACATCAAAGCAAGTAAAAGAGGTTTGGAATGAGAGGTTTGGAATGAGCATGCCACCAGAACCACAAATCGTTTACAAGAATAGCTGAGACATCTAACATGCAGCCACAGGCAACACGTCTTGGCCAATATCTCTAACAACCAGCTCTTTAGGTCTCGCGACGCGCTTCTAGCTGATCTCAGTATTGTGGAGTCTTTTCCAACCTACTAGGAGCTGTTGAAAATCACTTCTCGGTTTGTTAACTCTTCAAGTCTTCTCTGTTGGTGTCTTTCCTACTTTCTTCGCTTGAAACAATTTCTTCTTTGCATGACGTTATACCACCTGCTTTTACTTGATGTTTTCTTGGTCGGAATAAGAACGTTTCAAGTTACTGACGTAGACAACAGGGTTAGTCTGTATCCATAGGAGCAATTGGATCCTATATGATGTCTTCCTAATCTTGTGGACAACTTTGACTAGTCCATAGAATTTTCGAACCAGTCTTTGGTTCTTGTTGCTTTGAACTCNATATCTAGACACTATAACGTTGATCCACTATTGTCTTATATAGTTAACGTTCACTCTTTAACGTCCATAGACATTTTATAACTACTACGAAAATCAAAACATACAATAAATTCATACAAGTTTTACAACATATCATATACTACAAAACAGGGTTAGACTGCTTACTTGGTCGCGGAGAGACATGAAATCGAGTTGAGNTCTATTTGCTTTGAAATTATCGTGGTCGACCCTTCTCTTCATCCGTCTGGATGGTATTTCTGCGTGAGCATGTGTTGCTTTAGTGGTTTGTTTTTGTCTCCCTTCTTTAGTAGAGGTGTTGGCTTGGTGTCTTTGCCAAGCATTTGAGTGATCACTGACAAAAACCTTTGCAGGTCAAATAAACCCGACTGTGAACATGCCATTTTGCTATTTGTAGAATTCAACTAGCTCAAGTTGAGCTGTATGACATCTATTTGTGGTAGGTGACATAAAACTAATCTTGTGATTTATCTCTCTTAGTAGGGTTAAACCCAATATCTGACCTTCTTGTTTTGGGTCATGGTGTTCATGTAGTGGCAATAAAGTTTTTGTTGAGGTTGGCACACTTGAGCTCCCCCTTTTCAAATACAACAATGGCAGCAAGTGTAGATTCATCATGGCTAAGATTCTTTCTCAACTGTACTATCGTCATCATTTTCACCCCTTTTGGTTGATGGATGTTTGTCTGAATGATCGTTGGGTTAGACTCCGTTACTACTAGGCATTTTGCTAGGGACATGTAAATGACTTTGTGTTCTAGCAGGATGTCAATCCCTGACTATTTGGGCTCTAGAATGTTGGATATGAAGGCTGACAATTTATAGTAAAAATCTGATAGAGAAATATATATTAAATAATTATATATAGTAGGCGGTTACATATAGTGAAGCTATATATAATAAACTGAAATCATATGTATACCCATTAGTCAGTGCTTCCTAAATGTATATTTCTCATTCTCCATATCCTCTCTTTGCATACCTGAAGTCATTAATACAAAACCATTAGTCAATATTTCTTCTTACATTTTCTCTATCATGTTCTTTGTGTTCATTTAGATCAAGTGTGTGCGCTGTTGTGTTATTCTAATAATTAGTATCAGAGCAAGGAGAGATTCACCACGATCTGTGAAGATGGAAAGTTCAAAGACTGGAATTGAAAAGTTTGATGGATTCGATATTAGTTTCTAGAAGATGCAAATTGAAGATTATCTATACGAGAAAGATATTCAGGAACCCATTTTGGGGGGTGAAGCTGGATACCATGACCACGGAGGAGTGGAAGCTCAAGGATTGTCACGTCGTAGGGTTAATCTGGTTGACGCTACCAGGGAACCAAAGAAATTACGATTCGAAATGGTCCATACAGTCGTTTGGGTTCCATCTCCAGTTTCTTCATTTCTAGTACCAAAATTTCATGGATTAGATGTCTTGCACTGTGCAACGACAACTCTCTGTTTTCCTAAGGCTAGTCAG